CCGTTTTGAGAGAGGTATTGAAAAATGTTGACTCGCGGTAACCATGAAGGGACTATCTCTTCTATCGATTTTTCTCGACGTACAGGTTGCTTCCTCCATGAGAATTGCCGTCATATCCGACGAAGATTGCCTCCAAACATGATGCAGCTTCGCAACACCCTTCACTGTGAGGCGATAGAAGACCATGTGGCCGACGACTTCAACAGCCGGCAATGGTTTTTGCTCCCCTTTCGACGCAAGCGCGACTCAACTTGCCTCAACACCGTCGGAAGGTGCAACACGACGACTATTTGAGACGAAGTTTAACTTGTGGTCATGATTATGTAACCATAGCCTTGCGATAACTCGAAACTTCGCCTTAAAATAGCATATTTTGCTACAAACTCACTTCGGTTTGTACCTCCTTTTGTACGGAAATTCCGACGACCATTGCTCTGAGGTTCCCGCGAATGAGCCCAACCCACTGGCTGGAGTATGGCTGGCATCCGAGTCCAAAAGAGGCACCGACGGGCATGCAAATCGCAACCTTCACGTCTCTTCATGAAAGCAGATTCATGCGCCAAAACGAGTCGGCCATATTACAACATTCAAGCTATGCTTCAGCATTGGGTTGGCTTCTTGCTCACAAGAATCTACATCCCTCACTTAAAATTTGTCCCAGCACCTACAGAAGGTGTCCTAGATGCCCTTGCACCAAACCGCCATATAGACTTTATTCTAAAATCAAGTCTACTGTGCCTGGGTCCTTCGAACTAGGCGTAAAAGTGTGCATAAATGGCTGAGGATGCAGTCTTTAGATCTTAGGCTAGTCCATCAGCGCTCCATACGCTTCCGGGACTCAAGCATCACTCCTACCAACCTTCCCTCCTCATAGAAGATAAGAAAGCAAACGGAATGTGACACTCCAGTACATGTCTGTCTGTGCTTGCCTGCTTGCATGAATATGTGTAAATATGAATGTATGTCTACATATATATATATATGCATGTATGTATGTATGCATGTATGTATGTAGGTATGTATGAATGAATGAATGAATGAATG